CCTCTAGGAACTCCTTAGATGCCTCAAATCTCTTGGGGTTGGGGCACGTGTCAATGGTCACTTCATCTAACTCTCTGTCCAGTGCTTGAATCCCTTAAGTGACCTCATCAGCTTCTTTCTGAATACATCCATGTTTGAGGTGCTCACCACTATCCATGGCAGGGTGTTGCACCTTTGGACAGCTCTGTTGAATCAAAAGGTCTTCCTTTAGTTGAATCAAATCCACCTCCCCATAGCTTCCAAACTTTGGTCCTGGCTAGTGAGTATGCCTAGCCAACCACTAAGTCTGTATTCCTAGGAAATAACCAACACCTCAGGAAAATGAGATTTTTAACTCATGGGCTAAAAATCTAAGTTTTGGAAAAGCACAAGTGAAAGCCTACTATAGCAGAAAGGCTAGTAGGTGGACCTGAAAAGCAAGTCAGGTCACAGATTCAGCATGGGAAACAATTGTAGGCAGCCCCTAAAAGTACAGACATCAGAAAATGTGTGCAATCCCTACAGAATGGAAAGAAGAGCAGGAGCTGTAGCCTTTGCTTTGTAAGAGTTCACAGTCTTAATAGGAAGATAAAGAGTGGAAGCAGTTGGAGAAACCTGAAGCGTGGTCCAAATTTAGCAGGCCTTACATGATGGGCAGCACCAGTCTCTGTGGGATGTATTATGGCCGAAGGCCTTGGCTTCATCCTGGAACTTTCTACTTCAAGTCTCTCCTATTCATGCCTGGATCAAACCTCTTCAAGAAGACTCAAGCCAGCCCCACATTCTTGGAAGGGATGTTGGCTCAGAAACACAGAGGGAGTCTGGACAGTCCCCCATTATGTGGGAAGAGCAAGAAAAAAATGTGAAAAAGAAAACATCTCCCTTCCACATGAGAGAGGCAGCAATTCAACACAACAGGTTAAGGGGGACAGATTGGGGGGAGGGGGCTCATCACCATGACGACAAACCCAACAATTCTGAAAAATGGATTTTTTTGTTTTTCTTTTCACCTGTCATTCTTCTCAGTGCTGTCACTCTTTTCCCTCCCTCCTGGCAGAAGACAAGTTGTGACTTTTTCACTCCCACCAACAAGCTGCCTGGCTTTTGGGAGTACAGCTGCTCTGGGATGGAGGGAGAATGGGGTCCTCCAGAAGGGTGCTCAGAAGACTCGGGTTCTATCTTTCCCCTCTCCCTGGTCATAGCTGGGAAGCTTGTAGTTTGCCCAGGAAACATGAACACAAGTCCATGAGGACACATGTCCTCTTGTATGGACACTATGGGCCAGGGGAGGAATCAGAGCTCTGGTCCTTAAATGGATTTTTAACCCTGCCCCTGGATAGCCCATCATATTCTGAGAGTGAGTCAAAGAGAGTCAGTAATGGCTACTGAACAGTAGACCATGGCCTTGGGCCCCTTTTAAAAAAAACAGCGTTATCAAAAAGCAATGGCACACATAAGGGAAATCATGAAACCTTGCCTAAATGTAAACTCCTCAACTACGTGAGCTAAGAAGGGAGCAACACCAGCCTCTCATTCCATACCTTATCAAAGTATACCAGCTTTAGACAGCTGTGCTATATCTAAGTTTGCTTTCTGATATTGGTAGTGATAGGGTCCAGGTGATTGATTCCAGAGGTCTTCCCTCACTACAGAATTGTGTTGGCACTGTGTGTCCTGCAAGAGGTGGCAGTCCCCATACCATCTGGCTGCCCTCTTTGTTTGTATGGGATGTGTCCCCCAACACATTTACAGTGTCATCTCTGTAGGCCAGAGACCTTCAGAAGTGAAAGATGCTCTCCACCTCCAGACATAGTGAGGTACTCAGTCACTGGATATTCCTCCTTCTACTGTTACATAGAATATGCCCCTGGCATATTCATATGAACTTTCATATGAAGATCCGACCCTGCTTCCTTCCCAAGTATACCAGAAATAGACATCCCACCATCTATGGCCAAGGAGGTAGATGCCCTCTTAGGGATTTCTTGAAGATAGTAACAAAATTAAAAAGATGCCTACCATTCCCTTATCCTTGAAGGCAATCCTCAACCAAGGTGAACTTGAAAAGACCATGAGGAAGAAAACAGAAACAGTGTTGGTGACCAAGGAGGCAAGTTGCATTGCAGTTACTGTAAGGCTGATCAGCATGTGAAGGGCTCATTTCTTTCCTCCTAGCTTTTTGTGTACCATCTTCCCCCAGGCCTGTTCCCATCCACTCCCTCTGAGCATCACTGTCAACTACTCTTTTTTAAGGTGTGAACTGATGATGCATTAACATGCCTCCCCACCACACTCCTAGCCCTGTCCACACAGAAGAGCCTGGTGGGTTTTTTTTCTTTTGTTCCACACAGAAGAGTTTTATTGTAACTTCTACTAACCATAAATCCTCCAAGGACTCTGAAGAATTACTCTCCAGAAGCGGAATTACAGACCTCCTGAACAACAAACAGGGAGACATTTTGAGTGTTCTGAAAAATAATGCCAAGTGAGAATTTACTTGTTCCGCCAACTCTTGAACCAAGCACCAAACTCATTTTTGCACATATCCCTTATCAGGCCATTATACCAGAGCAGGAGAAATTCTACCCCTTGGAATAATCATTTCCATTGCTTCCCAAGCCAGAATATGCCTTGCCAAGTGTAACCCATATTCAAGAGCCATCTGCTTTAGCAATACAGGAAGCCACCAAAGGGGTGTGCTTTAGATAATCCTACAGCTCTGCTAGCCAAGGCTGCTTCTGGGGAGGGAAGGCATGCTGCTATTTGCCAGCTGCGGTGCCCAAGCTCAGCCCTGCTGAATCCTGTACAATGCACCAAGTAGAACTAGAGCAGAGCCCACTGATTTAGTCACTAACAAACCTTTTTCCACATACCCAGATTCTAATAGGTAGATGTCAAAGGAGTCCCTGGGGCAAGACAGTTCACCCTTTGTGTGACTCGCCTCCCTCCCCACCTGAAAAAGAGCCCATGCAGAGACCTAAAAGCTATATCCTATCCTGTACCACCAACTAACCAACCATGGTGTGTATCTGTGCCAGTTGAGGTGTGCATTTTAATTCAATGAAAAACTTATACCTAAGCAAACAATATAAACAAAGATGTTAGCACCACCATGACATCCGGGGATGAGTATTCTTCCAAGATTTAAAGATATAAATTAAAGATGTTCACTTGCCTGTGTCAAGAATTTTATTGAGCAGTTTCCCCGCTCTCTGAGCTGTTACTACCATCATAACCACCAGTTTCCTTTGGTTGTTCTTACTGCTTGGGAACAGTCCCCAGGTCCCCAGTTTTGAACCTGACTGGAGATGACAGAATGCAGGGATAGTCTCAGCAGACTGATGGTCTTTCTCAGGCTCCACGAAGTGAGCTCTGTCCACCAAATACGAGAGATGGGTACTTGTACCCCAGCCCTAGGAATTAAGCAATCTGCTCCATGATTCTGCTCATCCAGAACCAGTACAAGATCTTTTACCATAGGCAACAGAGATTTCTAAATTCAGCTACCTGCATCTGCCTGCAGTGTCTTTTAGCAAGCACCTCCAACAGAAAAATGACACCAATTAAGCATAATTATTAGGATTTAATAGAGCTAGTTTTCTATCTCAGGGCCATTTTACTGTTCCAAGCCCCCTAGTTTCCTTTGTCCCTAGACTGGGGCTCAGATCAGTAAGTTAAAGGTATACATTGATTGGTCTTTATTATGTGGGCAATGACTGCCTTATTAAATTGAAATTAAAGGCACATTTAGGGAAAAGTTCATTTTAAGTGCCAACTCAGAAAAACACTCAGAGACATAAACAATAGGCAAAGCTGAGGCTTTGCACAACAGAAGGGTCAGGGACAGGAACTGAGCTGAAAATGAAGGTACATGTTTTCTGAAAGAATAGGGTAAGCTCAAAGGTGCAGATTTTGAAAGAAGCTGCCCTGAATTTCTTGTGGTGTCTCTTGCCCCAGAACAGGCATTGAGGAGGGAGGAAAGTGTAATTATAAATTAAACACAATCAGAGATGCTTTGGAATATTGTTAACACACACACACTTTTCCTAGGGATATTTAGCACTCTGTCAATGAATAAAAAGCCTCTCCAGCTATTTTGAAGGTTAAAAAGGGTAACGGGGTTGAGTGTATGTGTGTAAAAATGCTGTTGCTTGGATGCTCTCTAGCCTTTTGGCTCACTTTGCTCTTTCCCCTCCCCCCTTCCCTTCTCCTCTTCCTAGGACAAGACAAGCGCCCTGAGCCTCAGCAATGTGGCAGGCGTGTTCTACATCCTGATCGGAGGACTTGGACTAGCCATGCTGGTTGCCTTAATCGAGTTCTGCTACAAATCCCGTAGTGAATCCAAGAGGATGAAGGTGGCATCGTCTCCCCAGGCCTTTTTCCTACCCCATCCTGTGATATCACTGGGTGTCCTGGGAGTCCCTGTACTAGAAAGGGGGGGAGGGGGCAGTGAGAGGAAGTTGAGGTCAGTTTGAGGCAAGGGGCAGAAAGTTGGGATGAGGAAGGTGATAAGAAAGGAGACAGCTATGAGAAAGGAAGGAAGATGGGATGTGTCAGGGCAAACATAGGCCTGGGAAACAACTGCACCAGTCAGAGATGGGGTGGTGAGATTAAAACTTAGGAGTTTAAGTGGACAGTCAACACAGTGTGAGGCAGGAGTGGTTGCTACAAAAGTAGATTCTCCTGAGGCTGCATTAACAGAAGTATAGCTCCGAAAATAGGGGAAGGGATGTCTACCTTCTGCAAGATAGATAATCTTGCCATGCTTGGTGAGTTAGGTCTTTTCTTAGCCACTGTATTGTGATATAGATTTTGGCAAAGAAGATCATGCACAGAGGATAAGCAGATTAGCTAAATGACCCCAAACCACATCAAATATAGTTGAAGCCAAATAACCAGAGAAGAGAAGAATTATGGAGGATAAGAGAGCTTTCTATAAAAATATGAAGACTTTTCAGGTGGAAAAAAGTAGACTAGTTCTGTTGGGTCCCAAAGTGTACAACAAGAACTAATGACTAAAAGCTATGGAGAACAGATGTTAACACAGTGAGATCTACTTTTCTCTCAGAGCTACCGCAAAATGGGATGGACTATCCCAATAAAAAGCAAGCATCCCATCACTGGAGGTATACAAGTAGAGGAAGAGTAACTCTTGGGGAGGATATAGATTCCAGTACTCAAAGGGAGTTTTGAATAAATGACCTTCAAGACCCCTCACATTTCCTCATTTAGCTTCAATAAGAAAATATTTATGCAAGTGTCAATTATGTGAGCAATACCACGAGCAAGACATCATGATGAGACAGAGAGGACTGAGCTGCAATCTGTGACCATTGGCACTTTCTACAAAAAAACTGCACAGAAAAATTACTCAGTGAAGCAACTTATAGATAGGAAGGTCGATAGGAATACAGAGGAGGAGGGAATTAGAGAAGGCTTCCAGGATGAGGCAAAAATTAAGAGGAAGGACGAGTGGGACTCAGACCAACAAAGGTGGAGAGAAATGCAGTCATTCTGAGCAATGTACCCTAGGCTGTGATGTTGGCTTGACTAGACTAAGAAGATTCACTGGTAGGATTTGCTCTCCTAGAATGGGCCCTAAGAAGTCCATATAAGCTCAGTACACCCACTGTGGAGTCACAACCACAGCCTCCTACCTAGCCTCTCCCTGCCTTGGGCCAACAGCCCTACACATATCTCCAGGGTCACTCTTGGAGAAGACATTGCTGGACATTTGCTTCCCCTGTTTGGAAACTCTGTATTCAGTTCTGTACACAGAAAGTGGGAGTTGGAGGAGGAGGGCCTTCTGTCCTGGCATTCAGACCTTCTGTCCTGGCATTCAACATTTCCACATCATGGCTCCAGCCTACTTTCTCCTCCCAAGCAATCTGCTCTCCTTACATACTACGTACTCTAACCACCCACCTCATGCTTCCCACCGGTGTGCCTTAATGCAGGCTAATCTCTCTGCCTGTCTTCTGCCCATAGAGCCTATTTAAAAGGCAATGTAACTAAGATACAATAACAAGGAACAATTAAGGGACGGTAGTATGATGGTATTTAGCCAGGGGACTTAGGAACACCTCATTCCTACCCTTAACCAGCTCACCCACTACCAGGTCTTCTCAGAAAGGACAAAGCAGAGCAAAAGCATGGGCCTCAGATCCTAAACCCAGGGTAGACCTCCAAGAAGCTTGGCAAACACAAAAAGGTCTCCTAGAACCTAAACAAAGATTTCTTTGCCTATTCCATCCAAAACATAAACCTAAATATTCTCCTATCTTTCCCTCCAAAGTGAGGAAAAGCCACTCTGGAGGCAAAGAGTGGAACAGAAAAAGAGCTAGGTGAGCTACAACATTTACAAACCCCCAAAACCTTCCATGTGAACTGTGACCCAAACCAAGGGCCCAGGACTGGCCCAGTACACATCACAGGAGCTCCTTCTCACGGCTCCCCTAGAATACAGTGCAGTGTGGTGTCTGCCCTAGAGACTGAGTGTCTGAGCATAAACCCTGCCTGTTCCATTTGTTAACTGTGTAATCTGGAACAAGTTCCAGTAACTCTCTGAGCCCCCTTTTCTGTAAAATGGGGCTACTGGCAGTACATATCTCATAAAATTGTTGTGAGCTTTCTGTGAAAAAATGGATATAAAGGGATTGGCAAAATGCCTGCATCATGATAAGCTCTCAATAAATAACAATACTAACAATGATAACTAGAATTTATAATAATAATATCTCCTATTAGGGACCAGCTACAGTCTTTTTAAGACTTTCCTTTTATTGCCCCTACTTATATGTCCTAGGCTTTTTGAGCTATATAGTTTTTAAGATCCTGAAGGTAAGAAACTGTGTCTAATTTCTCTTTGGACATTTGGCACACATAGGGTAATTATTAGTAAAACTAATGTAGAATTGTACCTAGAAGAGAAGATCTCCTCAAGGCTGAGGTGATGCATGGAGGAGAGCTGCTATTTGGGTAAGCAAATAGAACCATCAAGACCACCCACCCTAGAAGCACAGACAGCATCATCCAAGCTGGTTCTGGCCCCATCTGTGCTCATAAAATCTGATGAGAGCAGACATCCACCAAGCAGGAAGTACCTGGACTTCTGGCCCTTCCTATGGGATTACCATGTCCCACTAATCATGGTCAGTGTCAGGTAATGGTACCAGGGTGGCTAAAGAGTAGGATTGTCTTAACACTAGACAGATGACTTTCACCACTGAAGTCACAACATTCAGGTTAAGACAAGAATACTTAGAAGAGGCCACTGAGGCAGGTTATAACTTCTTGGGGACATTCGTACCCTTCCCTTTACAAAGATGTTGAATTTCTCAGAAGCCAATGCCAGGATCTCTAGAATCATTCATCCAAGGTCTCCCACCACAATCTTTTATAATTAATTCCATTGGTTGGCACAACTCTGCCCAATTCATCAAGGCTCCTAATAGAATTTTTAATCTTCCAACTGTAGAAAAGATACTTCTATTATCTTTATTAATCAACCCGACCCTTCATTTTTGAAGCTGCATCAACTTCTCTCTTATCCAAAAGAGAAAAGTAGGGTACCATTCACCTGCCTCCCAGACTTCACAGCTTTGCAGTTTTCTTCATTATTCTGTAATTAGCCTTCCCCAGAGGCAGTTAACTCTTTACAGACATGCAGCCTCCACCTCGCACAGAGGGCCATGTTGACAGTGTCACGGGCCTTTGGTGAGAACTTTCCCTCTTGTTCCTTTCCTTGATCACAATGTTTGGCTAATTTTTAAGGCCTTGAGCCTCTAAACATAGTTCAGGGCCAACCCCTGATTTCTCAACAGTCGTCAGAGAGCCCTTCCCCACTGTTCATGGAAGAGAGAAAAGGGAAAGAAGGGGGTAGAAAAGGGGAAAAAGGAGGGAAAGAAGAAAGGACGGGAAGAAGACATCTTTTTAGTAACTTCCATGCTCAGAGTGCTTTATATACATTATTAACTCTGTAATGTGTTGTGCTTGCAGTTCTACAGATGAAGAAATAGGGGTTCAGAGAAGCTAAGGAGCTTGTCCTAGGAAGGTCACACAAGCTAGGAGCTGGAGAAACAGGAATTAGACTTCCAGTGCAGGAAAAGATCATTGTAAGCACCTACTATGTGTCTCCTCCAGCAGCGGCCACAGTGCATAGACAAATAAGATGCAGCCCTATCCTTAGGTTTTCCTGAGGTAGTTCTTGAGGCCATCCATAATAGGTAATCTTTTGCTTGTGTGTTGTCAAGTCCCTTCACTTTTGACACATCACACAAGAAAGGCACACAGCAGGTGTCACAGGGACAGTGGGAAGGCACCCTGGAGGCATTCCTTCCACAAAGACATACTGAGCACCACTGCATGCTAGGCATTGCTCAACACTGGGGACACAGTTGGGAACAAAACAGATATAGCTTCTATTCTCAGGAAACTACAAGTGTGATGGGAAGACAGAAAAAAAAATTTACATGTTCACTGAGGGTTTGAACAAAAATACTGGGGCTGTCAAGTCCTGATCAGGGAATGAGGGTTGGGGCAGGTCACAGGGGTTCCCCTGAGAAACTGATGTCTAGCTGACTTGAAATGTGGAAGGAATTAACCAGGGGGAAGGAGTTGCCTACAAAGGATGCATGTGTGTCAGAGACCCAAAAATTACAACTTTTGCCCAGAAATGGGAAGAAGTCCAGGGTGACCAGAGCACAGGAAGACTGTGGGAAGAACATGAAGTCCCTCATGTTCAGAGAGGGACTTCAGACAACTTTTCCAATGAGTAGAATCTGAATGGTCATATAGTAGCAAAAATACATAACCTAAGACACAGTCCAAACTGAAGTCTCAGGTCCTCAGTGCCTCTCCTCTACCTGGGGGAAAAAGACCAGAACTGAGTCCTCAGCTGATATTAAAGATAACCAGGGTCTTTATTATTGCCTACTTTGCTCTCTGTAGAAAATAACTGTATGTATGACATGAGCTGTGGTTAAGCCATAGCAGCTGAGGCTTTGTGCATTTCCCTAGAATTATCAAGCAGCTGGAAGACTTGGTAATGCAGGGGTGCATCCTCCACAGCAGGCAGTCACTCTAGCTCTTAGCATACATGCTAGTAGGAGGTCATCACTGAGGTTTGAGCTTTTATTATGGTGTTCAAGGATGGGCAGAGGCTGGAGAGACTTTTCTTGGAAAAGCAAGTGGCTAAGAAGTTAGGATATAATAACGGTTAGAGAAATGAGTCTCTGAAGAGGCAACTTGGGGGACTTTGAGGTTGGACTTTTCACTCACAATTTTCTCCCTGAGCATCAGCTTCAAACACACCTGAAAGGATGAACTTTAAGAATGGCTGGTATGTCAAGGATGGACAAGGGAGAACTGCATTTCCCACAGGCAAGGGGAGGAATAATATGAGCTTATGACGGCTTAGCTACAGGGGCGTATAGTTAGGAGGTCATCCACTTTGACATTAAGGGACTGATAACTATAACCTTAAGTCAGTCAGTCATAAGTCCTCAGTTTCTCTGTAAAGTGAAGGATATAAACTAGATCCGTGTATTCCAACCTTGCTTGCATATTAGAATCACCTAAAGAGTTTTCAAAAATCCAGATGTCCAGGCCACACACCACACTTAGTAAGTCAACGTCTTGGAGGGTATGTCTCAGGCATCAGTATTTTTTCCCCAGAACTCCCTAGATAACTCCAATGTGCAGTCAAATTTGGGAACTAATGATCTAGTCATTTTTAGCATTGCTTTCCACTCCCAAGTTTTGACTCTATTCATCTCTTCTCCTGAGATCCCATAATGTATTAGAAAGGAAGCCAGTAAGCAGGTAGCACTCACTGTCGATAGGAGGATGGAGTCATTGACCACAGAGAAGCCCTCAGCTTCCTGGAAAACCACTTCCAAGTGGTATGGATTTGGAGGGTTTTAGCTACAGGCCAGGCTAAGTTATCTCAGACTTTGGTAGGCACCAATAGTGACTATGCCACCAATCTTCTCCTTTAAAATGAATTCCTCAATACCACCAACTTCAATGGAATATTACGGGAATATATGAGACCTTTTGAAAAACAAAGCCCAAGATGATCTGTGTGAGCTATAAACTTTATTTTTTAATTAAAGGGATGTAGCAGAAAAAATCATAGAAGATAAACCTTCCAGGCTAATCCATAGAAGGTTCCATACTTCCTTCACACACAAGTGACAACAAGTAACCATTAATTCCTTGGGTATTCTTTTCACATTTCCCCCATAGAGCATCACAGTAGTATTTATTTGGCCTTCACTTAGAAGAATGCAGTCAAGGTCACACTTCTTCTTGAGTGGAGGATAATCAAAAGAGAATGTAAATAAATCGAGAACAGAAGTTTGAGAAGGCAGAACCAGCATGGGTAGAGCAACCTTTGGGGCAAATTTGTCTGAATCAGGAATTTTAAAAAGAACAAACACTTAAAAATATTGTCAGAATTGCCAGTAATAAGAGACTCTCAGCATAGTATAGTAGAAACAAAAATTAGGTCAAACTGCTGTTTATGTCTGTCTGGCCACCAGAGATTGACTGACTTCTCTGATGGCTAGAATCATGGCAATATGCAGAGGAGAAAGCTCATAAACTTTTTGAGAAGGGTCCTAGGTGGTTGACTTTTTTTTTAGACAAATTTAAGAATATCTATTAAACATCTAACTATATACTGGACACTATGGGAGACTGCTACGGACTGGGAAGAAATGAACCTTGCCCTCCTCCAGACAGCTCTCTTAAAGAAGACAAAACCGACATAGCAGAAGCAGAACCATTACAAAAGCATGTATAATGTAGGAGTACTAGACTGGGCGGGGGAGGGGGGCCAAATACTTGCTGGTACAGTCTAGGATGGCTTCAAGAAGGAGGTGAGAACAGAATGAGCCTTGAAGGATTGGTAGGATTGGTCTCAGAAAACTCTCAACTTATAGATAATTCTTCTTTATGTTGATTCCCAAGAAACCAACCCCCACTTCAAAAATTCTATGTTATCTCTTAATGGGAGGTTAGAAGTGACAGGAAGAGAGGAGGGTTTGGGTTTCATGTCATGAAGCTTCTTTCTCCAAAGGAACTCAGAACAGAACCCTTCCTCTTATCTAATAAGATATGGTTCTAATTCTAGGTTGTGGTTTTGAACATTCCACTTCACCCATCTGATCCCAGGGTGATCACTGGAGTCCTTTTTGTATCTAAAATTCCAATATTCTGGAAATCACAAGTAGAGCTGATTTGATGTGTCAGTCTGGAAGTCAGATTATACATGCTGGTGGGAAACAGCTGACATGCAGATAATGATCTTTGGAAAGTATTCTCATTTTCTTTAGCCCATGCTTCTTTCCAATTACATTTTGACTATTATTCAAATAAGTCCTACATTCCCATAACACATGCTACTAGAGGTAGGATAGGATTTTTCCTGAAGTAAATCAGAGGTAGTTTTAAATTTTAACTCAACAACAACACACTCCTTTGAAAAAAACATTTCAAATAATTTTTCATGCAGTAGCACTGTTCTTGCTAATAAAAGTCTGTAGGTGTGTAGATAATCACATTTCACAAACATGGAGATTTAAAAGTCTAGAGAGGTAAGGAGACATGCACAAGGTCATACAACTAGTTGATGTCGGAACCAAAACTAAAATCCCAAGTTTCCCAAACCCCTTTCCACAACTTTTCTATTTGGTCATGTTGCTACATTTATTATCATTAATACTACCATGGAAATATTCCATCTTTAGAAATCACAGAATATAAGAGCTAGAAAGGATCTTAGTGACCACCCAGTCTAACACACTTCATTGCACAGGGAGCACAAGAGGTCCAGAAAGGAGATTAGACTTGTCCAGAGCCACACAGCAGTTTTGTGTGTTTGTGGGAGGCCAAGGTTAGCATTCCAGATAAGGAAAAAAGTTAGATGGGGATGAGGGATGGGGTGAGATTTTAAGGCCAGCATTGACTCATTCTCCTTGCCAATCACTGCCAAGGACCTGGGGAAGAACCCCCGGTCCTCCTGAAAAGGGTTTCTGTTTGATCCCACAGCAATCCATCAATGAAGCCATACGGACATCGACACTCCCACGTAACAGTGGGGCCGGAACCAGCGGTGGCGGTAGTGGAGAAAATGGCCGGGTAGTCAGCCACGACTTCCCCAAGTCCATGCAGTCAATTCCCTGCATGAGCCACAGTTCAGGGATGCCCTTGGGAGCCACGGGATTGTAACTGGAGCAGATGGAGACCCCTTGGGGAGCATGCGCAAGCTCCCCCAGTTCCATCCCACACCCTTCAGTGCCAAAAACAATAAAATGAAACGCAACCGCCACCAACCACCATGACCACAAGGAAGATGATTCAACAGAATTTCCTGAAGAATTGAAAAATCATTTTGCCATCCCTTTTCCTTTTTTGATGTTCTTTCACACTTTTCCGTTTGCTAAGTGAGGATGATAAACAACAATGCACCGCAATAAGGGGAGAATAACCCTGTCTAGTAGAGCCTGTATCTCTGAAACGGAGTCACAGGAACATTAATGAGGAAACTGTACTGTTTTCTTTCATTCGGTTGTTAATATGTCTTAGTGTGTGCGATATTTTTTTTCTTACTAATATCCAAGGTTTGCAGGTTCTGTTAGGCCCCTTCCTTCTCCTGGCTTCTTACTCCCAACTCCCTACCCATGTCTCTTCAGTTTTCAGACTGGAGATTAAAGATTCGTTCTACCATACAAGCAAGCAAAAGGAAGAAAGCAACCTTCAAACTAATTCACCATTGGAGCTCTTTAAGTTACCCTCCATCCCTCAGCCCCAAGCCATGGATGAGGATGGATGTTGTTGAAGAAGTGGACTGCCTTCCCCAGGAAGGACACTTCCTAGGCGCTGATATAGCTGAGGACATGTGCAAAAACTAATTCAGACCAAGGGTGGTGGAGAGGGCAAAGGCAGGTGTGCAGTCAGAGGAGGACTCAAGAAGTTATTGCTGGAGGCTCAGAGAAAGCTTTCTTTAATGTGTAACAGCCATCCCATAGGCTTAGGTGGAATGGTATGTGTCTTCACAGAGTCAACCTCAGCCTGAGAATTATGTCTTTCTGCTATGCTCAAGCCCAAAGGCACTCTGGTGGCTGAATTGTCCTCCTGGACCAAGTACAGCTTTGGGAATAGTTGACAGCCAGGGAGATAATGCCCATGATTCTCACTTTTCATTTGCTTGACATCTGAGCAGGAACCCCACTGTGGAGTAGACTCTCTCTTCAGAGCCTCTGATGTGGGGGGAAATGCTATGCAAACTAAGTGCAAAATAAAGGATGGAAGAATTTTGGAAGAGGAAGCATCATGGAAGCCCACAAGCAAGAGAAGCTTTCATGGTGTGCCCTGTCCTAGGATTAAGAGACCAAATATGAAGCTTAGGGTTTTGCTGACCTGGAGAACTTGGATTTTTATGTCCATTTAAAAGTGTTGTTTTAGCATGTGGCCAGGTAACATTCTGTCACTTTAGAAAGTAAAATGCCCAAGAATGAATAAATTTAAGGAAGATAGGGAGATGAATTAAGTTGATAATGACATTGGGGGACCTTATGATCACTGACCCCAACTACCTTCCCCCTGGCTAAGACAGAATGAGGATGTATTATTCCAATGACCAGACTCAATATGCCCATGATTGTAACTATAAAGCTGAACTAAAGCAAGACTGGAGAAGTGACAGGGTTCATGGAGAGAAGCCCAGGCTGACTGCAACTTTAGTTGGGAGCAGGGTTCCTGGCACATAGCTTTCTTGGAGATCCCAGCTCTCATTCTTGGTGCAATTGGCTTCCAGCTGTCCAGCAGCCACTCTCCTAGGTGCATGATTCAGTGCGTGCCATATGTCTTTAGCTTTTATTGGTGACCATGTTCTGGCTTGTTTCCTTACCCCCTACTTCTATCTAGTCTTCTCTGCTAGGGGTTATCATTAGCAACTGACAAACTAAAGGTTTGGGAGCCTACCAACAAGTAAGTGCAGCATGATTGGCTTCATCAGTGGATTATCTCAGTGGACACCCACCATCTCTATGTGTCTCCCATTCTCCTAATATCGGCCATAGCAAAGAACCATCCCCATATCAAACTCTTCACTCTTTCGACTCAAGTGCTGTCCAGTCTCTCACGTGTCAATGTGGACATGGTACGTGAAGTAGGACCGTCAAGATGGATTTGTACTTTTCACCAGCTGATGTCCTCCCCATTCCCTGCCCTCCCACCAGATTTTTTTTCCATCCCTTAGCCTACCACTGCAGAATCTGATATGACCCACCATTAGGGAGTGCATTTCAGAGGAGTTGGAAATAATCCTATTACCATCAACATGCTTCAAAGACCTTTTGCCTTTGGTAGGATGCCTCTCCAGCCACTGAGCTCACCAGGAACATGATCTGAGAGGGAGAGACCATCTAAGCTAACAATGAGGGTCTATGTTGTGTGGGGGTCCAAGACTCCAGAGGAGGAAGCTTTTTATCAATGGAGGGGTGATGGGGAAAACAATAGCAAGAAAAAAGTTAACTTGTATTATGTATTTTTACTACACTTTTCTTAAAAATAGAGCAATGGGAAAACTCTGAAAGAGATTGACATTTTTCTCAAAAGGAATCCATACTTAACAGTTCTGGCTTTCATTAAATTTTGCTCTTTGGTACCTGGGCCTTTTATTTAACATCTATATTTGTTTTAATTCTCTTAGCAGATGTGTGAAAGGATTTCTGCTTGATCAAACACTAAATATTTTGGTTCCTGTTTTTCTTTCAAATAGCCAGGGGTTTTTTTTCTTTTGGTATTTGCATAAAATGAAAATATCACCGAGAATTAAATCACTGTGGATCCATTACCTACTTTTCATATTTGTCCATTCCATTTTTGTGCCATTTCTGAAGCCAGAGCTCTAGAGGTTATGTTACTTCCTTATTGCTGAACCTAAGACTAGTACATGTTTAATGGTAACCACCATTCCTGATTCACAAATAGCTCTCAAAAAGTCATTTCAGCTGAACTAGTTCACTCCAGACACCCCCAAACTAGAGTCTAGGTATATTTGTGATGTGCAGAGTTAAACCAAAACCAATTTAGACCATGCTTAAAAACAGACAATCTTGGTCCCAGACCACATTACCCTCTCATTCTTGCCTGAACGTTTTTCTTTCACTCCAGCAAGATGGGCTTTCTATAAAGGATCTGACATTTGTTGACATTTAGATATTGATAATTAAGAACAGCTTCAAATGTTTTCTTTTCCAAGGAATTTTGCATATTAACGGGGTCAGAGGTCTAAAATAAATGAATGAAGTTCTTTTTTTTAAGATTTTATTTATTTATTTGACAGAGAGACAATGAGAGAGGGAACACAAGCAGGGGGAGTGGGAGAGGGAGAAGCAGGCTTCCCGCCAAGCAGGGATTTGGGGCTCGATCCCAGGATCCTGGGATCATGACCGGAGCCGAAGGCAGACGCTTAACAACTGAGCCACCCAGACACCCCAAATGAAGTTCTAATTGTGGCATTTCAGTCAGTAACTACCATCTCTATGGTAAAGGGTTGAGGGAAGGGGAAGAAGCTAACAGACTTGTGTGAAGCTCCAACAATTGTTTGGACCCACTTGCAGTCACCTCCAGCACCTAGGTGCCTCTGAATGAAGAAACACTTTAACAGCAGCTAACAGGTAGAGAAAACCCATCTCTGTCACCTTACATATAGTTCAGATAATGATCATAACAGCTGTAAGAGCAGAGGTTACCATGTATTCAGCACTTACTACGTCAAGCACACTTCATACCTTCTATATCATGACAGTGGCCCTCTAAGGAAGTGCCCTATGGAAGAGGAACTCGAGCTTTAAAAGATGACGTAATTTGCTCACACTCCTGAGCCAGGATTTGAACTGGGTCTACCTAAATCCAAAGCCTTTGCATTACCCATCTTGCTGCTAACCAGGTCATGATGTATCATGGCCAGGAAAATAACAGGCAAGAAGTTCTCTACCTTCCTGTAATGCCAAAGTAACTGGGGAAAAAAATGGTTAAGGCTATACCTGCCACACCTTTGGGAAAGCCAGCCTATCTTTCTGGGGTATGAGAGATCACTGATCCAGACAGGACTGCAAAAAGGGAGAAGAGGAGAGTTACTTTTAGCCCCTCTAAAACAGATTGAGGTTAAGAAGCAGCAAGCCCGTTGGAAAGGACTGAGAAGCAGGTCCCCTGCACAAGAGTTGACTGAGCCTGCAGAAGGATCTTCAGGGTTGTTCTGGGGAAAGCAGAGCTAGCTTTCTGTGTGGTCAAGACCAGGATCCATTCTGGGAGGTACAGGGCAATGGACTTAGTCTCAGCTACAGAAAGGAGTTCCTAATGGTCACAGTATCCCCACAGTTATTAGACTGCCCCTGGAGCTGGGACAAACCCTTGCCAAGGAGATGGTTTGAAAGTTAACTAAGTCCACTAATTTTCCTTACTTTATCTTGCATCTTTTATAGCCCTATTCAGGTTATCTGTTCAGTAGCACCCTAATATACACCAAGAGAGGGTCGGCAATGCCCTACAGAAATGAGGATGAGTATCTTTCATCGAAATGTCAAAACTCAACTTATCTTAATTAAGAGACAAAATGGCAAGTTCCTTCCTTACCAAATGCTAATGTTCTTTCAAGGAAAGAATGTCTAGGCAGTACATTCCTACCCCACTTTACAGATAAGAAAGTTGAGGTTTTGAATAAGAAGCTAACTTCTTTTTTGTCAGATGAGTTTTTTTCTTCCTTGGGACTATAGATATTTGACCATCAGGTAATCTGTGTTCTGCTGTTAGTCTGGCCACTGACAAATAACCTTATTACAGTGCTTTGTAATTTTCAAAAATGTTTTGTTTCTTGAAGTTTCCAGATCACATCATGAATAGAGAAGCAATTTGCTATAGTGGAAAGGCCTAGATTAGGATTCACAATACCTGGCTTCTTTTCCTTCTTCCTTTACAAGCTTAAACAAGAAAATTAACTCCTCTGAAACTCATTTTTCTCATCAAAGAAATGGGATATCTGGTGTCAAAATAAGCAGTGATACTGGACCTTAACTGTACATTGGAATCGCCTAGTGAACTTTAAGCAAAATCACCAATGCCCAAGACTCACGTCCAGATAGAGTCTGTCTGAGCTGAGGCATAGTTGTCAGTGTATTGGTGTTGTCTGGTTTGGTTTTGAACTCATAGGCGGTTATAATGTGCAGCCAAGGATTGAGAACCACAACAATTCTGTCAGCCTGGGGAACACAGAAAATGCTCATGAAAACTTCTTTGAAAATTACAAAGAACTATATTAGGGTTATTTGTCAATGGCCAGACTAACATCAGAACCTGGGTTACCTGATGGAGTCAAATCTCCATGGTCCCAAGAGAAAATGCCATCATATTCATCTAGTAAAGAGGAGGAAAAGGCACAGTCCCTGACTTGGGCTCTGAACACTCCTTTACCCCTTAGGCATATCTGTCATAACATAACATTCTGCTGGGGGAAGAGAGAGATAGGATGTTAGAGATAAAATACAATTATCAGAGATACCTCCTCAGGAAAGGGTGTGG